GTGTCCGCTACACAAACAATAATGCTATAAAATAGCACTTTAATGCTAACGTTAGCTTAGCACCGCTGCTAGCTGCTGTCAGCCGGCCCGCTTCTCCTCCGCCCTCTCTCCGTTAGCTCACACGTAGAGGCTCAGGCTCTGTCCTCAAAGACAACTACTCCTCCGACACTGATCAGATTTGCTTCAGCAGTCATAACGTCAGACTGCTTCGCTTGTTTCAGCAGAAACAACGTCGATATCCGTGTGTTTGGGAGAGCAAACGTCAATATCATAGCTCAGTTCAGTGAATAACACTACATAAATTGCGTGCAACTGTGTCATTTAAACACTTTATAAACAGAATGAGTCGTGTCTTGAGTTTCAATTTGAGGGTTTATTCTGTGATTTTAGCAGCGGAGTTTTTATTGTGAAATTCTTAAAAACCGGAAGTGATATGTGTGTTTCGAAAAACTAGAAATGGCTGAGAGAACATGCAGGACCAAAATCAAATATGTCTGATATATCGTGACGTGAAACGCGAGGTGGACAGAGAATATCTCCTGTGTTACTTTTACCTTACTTTTGTGTTACCTTTACTCTTACTTTTTCAATATGCTAGTGTTCTAACGGACTACTCAGGTTTTTGAGGTACCCGTGACGGAAAACTGCCAGAGCCCGGATAGCTCAGTCGGTAGAGCATCAGACTTTTAATCTGAGGGTCCAGGGTTCAAGTCCCTGTTCGGGCGTCGTTTTTTTTTTTTTCGCCCCTTTAGTTAAAGAACCGTCTCAAAGTGAGCCCACATATTCTTTGCATTACTGCAGTGACTCAAATATAGCTTTTATGTTTTCATTGTAAGAGTAAATGTTAAAACGTCAGAATTGTAGAGCTATTTTTCGTATTTTGTAAACTTTGTGATAAATGTTTTTTTTTATGTAGTTCAGTCTGTTACTGTTCTTATTGTGTTGGAGGGACTGTGACCACATCATTTCCTAAGGGATTAATAAAGTATTCTGATTGGGATAAATTTACAACAGAAACATGTTTGGCTGCTGTGGACAGAGTCCAGACACACACAGAGCTGTTGATCGGCTGCTCAGTCAGCCTTTGCTTCAACCTTGAGTGAAGCTGAAGCACACTGGTTTCATTGCTAACTCCTCTGCATCATCCCGAGATCCTCATCAGACATTTGTTCTGATAAATCAACTTTCAGTCAGTTCTCACCCCCTAAAAATATGAAAGTGTCTCAAGTTTCCAAAAGAAGATTTCTAACTCGTGGGAAACATGACATCGGGACTCAGTGAAAGAGTTGGATTGTTATTCAGGGTACAGAGGGGCGGGACAGAGCGTTTTTTGGATGTGAAGTGAGGTTGTCTATAACAGGAAGTGAGCAGGATATCAGATCATTCACAGATACAGCATCAAACACAGAAGACGTAACTCCTGTCAGAAGCTGTGGTCAGAGAGGACGAGTTGCACCAACATGTTACAGTAAATGATGAAAAAACAGTTTTTCATGACCCCAGTATCAGTGCTGTGAAAAAAACTGGTGCATGTGCTAAAAAGGACCAACGTTTTCAAGAGGTTCCAACCAGAATCCCAGAGCACTGAGATCACAGTCCTCAAACTCAGCCTTCGTCAGCCACTGATGATGATGTTACGTGTTCAGTCATAAAATCTCTCCAGTGTGTCTTGGATCTTGGGAGATACCTCTACTTGGGGCAGGAACTCGTCCCCGACACTCAGCTCTCTCTTCACCACAACAGACCGGTACAGCGTCGGCATCCAGGGGTACTGCCCCTGATCTCCACACGACATTGCAGAGGTGTGTCAGCCAGGACAGCCCTACAACATCCAGAGCCTTCAGGAACTCAAGGCAGACTTAATCCAACCCAGGGGCTCTGCCACCGAGTTGTTTAACTGCCTCAGTGACCTTACTCCCAGAAATTGGCGGGTCATCCCCCTCTTCCCCAGACTCTTCCTCCTCCACGTGCCAGTGGGATTAAGGATTAAGGAGGTCCTCGAAGTATTCCTTCCACTGCCCAACAATTTTGTTCAGTTGAAGTCTGCAGCGCTCCTCTGCAGTGCTATACTCAGTGCAGGTAGACACTGCCTGACAGTTTGCCAGAATCTCTTCGAAACAGTCCGAAAGTCTTTTCCATGGCCTCTCTGAAAGCCTCCCACACCCAAGTTTTTGCTTCAGCCACTTTCCGCTTGGCCTGTCGTACCTGTCAGCTGCCTGCAATCCCACAGGCTAACCAAGCCCGATAGGACTCCTTCTTCTGCCTTGTGGCTCTCTTCACCCCTGGTGTCCACCAGTTGGTTTGTGGGTTATCACCACGACACGCACCAACCACCTTGCAGCCGCGGACTCTCTTATGGTCAAAAATGGTGTTCGTTATGGCCAAACTGTGGCTTCCACAGAAGTCCAATAACAAAACACCACTTGGGTTCAGATCAGGGGAGCCGTTCCTCCTAATCGGTCATTAAAGTCTCCCAGTAGGACAACAGAGTCTCCAGGTAGGCCCTTCTTTAGTCTGACAGCAGCAGTTTTCACAGGTATCACTCGTGAGCAGAAACAAGCTGCTGCTCTGATCTTTGAGAGTTCACTGCAAAAACATGAAGTTTAAACAGGAAACAGTTTTATTTAACACTCATGGGTGCAGGAGGTCAGAGGTGTCTTTGGTTTGCCCCGTCACGTTTAGCCTCCATGAGGAGGAGCGATCCTACCTGGAAGACCAGCCCCACAGCGCCTCCATGTGGGAGTAATGTGAAACAGCTCTAAATGAGAAGAAGGTTTTTGGTAGTCCCTGTTTCTCGTGGCTGTACTGATCTTTAGATGTGAGCAGCTGCTGATGCTCCACGAGCTGAAACATCACATTTCTGTCTCCTGTGGCGATGAAGGTGCGAAGGCTCAAAAATGCTGCAACAACGATGTGAATGAAACATAATTTGATGGTCTGTACCACAGAAAATAATTATGATAATAGAACATTGTATTACTTCATTAAATATGCAAAGTTAGGATTTCTCCCAATGTGTGAACTGCTGGAGGAGGTCAGAGGTTAAAGGTCAGAGCGGTGTCTCAGTCTGGTTTTAAAGCTCTAACAGAAAATGACCTTTTATTGATGACAGACGATCGACGATCGACCACAGGAGCACGCAGCTCTCCTCCAATCAGGAGTCAGCATAAGGCCAAACCTTTTTCTTATTCCACATTTGTAATCAGATTACATTTTACAGTCCACGTTTCAAACACTGAGCATCAGCGCAGCCACCGTCCTGCAGCAGTTTCCTGTGACATCAGGAAGTTTATGAACCATCACATCACTGATGTCAGTGATGCAGCACAGCTGGTGCAAGGAAACATGCAGATGTTCACAGATGTTCAACTTCTGTAGATGAGGAAATATCCAAGTAATTTAATGTAACTGAATATTGAATCTTCCATATTTAATATGTAAATTTATTCCTTTATGACTTTGTGTTTATAATCCTGGAAAATCAAATCATGCAAATAAACATTTTCACCTTCAGGCAAGCTCGCAGAACCACAGACTGTATATTAAAGATGGAGGTAGCTTCTGGTGATGTATCGAATGTAATCGTTAAATTACGAGACAAGTTTGATAAATATGGAGGACCAAGAAAGTCTAAACATTTCACGAGTTAATAATTAATTGGGGCAATAAAATATGAATTAGTAAATCCAATTATAAATTATTATTATATAAATAAAGTAATTAAATGGATTTACATTAAAAAAAACATCAAATCAAATCACTCAAAAATCTTTGTTAAAAATATTATTTTGAAAATTTAAAAACAGGTTTTTCAAAATAAAGGAGAATCAAGTGAATAGATGAAGATTTATCTCTATGATTCCTCCTTTTCAAATCCACGTCCTTCCTGTTAGCAGCTGGATCACATCTGGGATGAACTCTTTTGGTCTTTGGAGGAAAATCGCAGGAAGAACGAGTCGAGTTTCAGAGCGCTGGCTCCTTTTATTCCCCTCGCTGTTAACAGTAACGTCGTCATGTACAGGAACATCACATTATTTAAAGCATGGCTGTGATTTTCCACATGTTGCATAAAACGGCTTCGTCATAACAGGATCAGCTGCTACTTTACTCCTGGAAACACAGACTGTATAACAAAGATGGACAACAGAGTGGAGAACGTTCCAGTACAGCTGTGATGTCATCCACCTTTATTTACACTCAGACAGGAGGATGGTAAACCACAGCTGCGTGTCATTGCTCCGCCCACTTCCTCACTCCGCCCACAGCGTGAGGCTGCGGGGGCTTCCCCGAACCACAGATTCATCAAACAGTCCTCCGTACGCGGAGGCTCAGCGGGTCACGTGGACTCAAACACACAAAGACAAACCCACCAACCCCGACCAAACAAGCAGCTAAAATCAAAAAGTGGCGTCAGCGTTCATCAGCTCCTCCCGTCTGTTGTTATAGGTGACGCACAGTCACAGCTGCAGGCGTTTGAGCTCAGGAGAAGAAGAGCTGCTCGCACAGGCGCCGCGTCTCCGCCGGGCTGGACACCTCGTGGCCGACGGTCCGGGGGTCGCAGTAGATCTCGTAATCGTTTCCTCCCTGACGTGAAGACAGAGACGCACAGACAGTGAAAAAGTTTTGCCCCAAACTGGCTGCAGGTTAACAGTCACACATCTGTGTGTCCTTCAGCGTCAAACAGCTGGAAGTGTTGCATGGTGACCACTGAACACATGTCAGATGTTTGAAAAAGCCTCTAACAGCAGGTCAAGCTCCACCCTGAGCCTTAAAAACATGAAACAACGAGACATTCAAACCCCGCCGGCCGGTCCGAGGACCGAAGATTCATCTGTCTGTACCAGGGGTGTTAAACATAAGGCCCGGGGGCCGATGAAGAGTCGAACATTCACACAGCGGCGTAACAAAGACGAACAACGAAAGGACAGAAACTCCTCTGAGTGACCTCACAGGAAGGAAAAGGAACGTTTCAGCGGCCCCGCCCACTCAGGTTTAAATGTGCTGAATGTGGCCCACGATGTAAACGCCGTCCTGCTCTATAACACACTGTTTACTCTCTACAGTGGACGTACTCACACACAGACAAACTAAGGGAGTAACTTCCTGCAATCAAACAGAATTTCAATTCATTTAATTTAAAATGACAATATTATTATTATTATTATTATTATTATTATTATTATTAGTATTTATTTATTAAACATATAAATACTTAAAGTCGGCCACGCTAGAATAAGGAGACAGGTGTCACAAGCCACTCATTAAAAGTACTTTGATGTAAGATTACATTCTCAGAGTTACTGCACTGCTTAAAGTTACTTACAGAATAATTATCTTTTTGTTGCCGTGACAACCTGACCTGTTCCCTTCCTACCTGTTGTTTTCTCCACCTGCACTTTGTGATGATAGAAAGAATCTACTGTCTTCTTCTTTTGGTCTCAGGCTGTAAACAGTTCATGGGGGCTGACTCACTGCTGCCCCTGCTGGACACTACAGGAGCTGCAGTGTTGGTGAGCGTGCTGCTGGATCCAGCTGTATTTCAGGAATAATGAAACAGATGTTTCCAGGAACGACTCTTTGACCCGACCGGCCATCGTTTACCTGCCGCTGATGTTCTGCCTGCGTGAGGAGTCACGTGACGCCGTTTGCATACTCACAGGTTTGGTCTTGTCTCCAAAGAAGTGGATGGTGGAGTAGTCGTCCTCCTCCACGATGCCCAGGCAGTACCTTTTATCCCAGCCGTCAGGAAACACGTCAAAGCTGATCTGACCTCCTGCAGACACACAAAGACCGACAGGCTGCAGGAAACGAAGGCGCCATTTGCATCACAGTGAGGTAGGACAGCCACGCCGCTGCTGCGTGCCGGCTGCAGCAGACTCACCGATGGAAAACGAGAGTCCTTTTCCTTTGAACTCCTCCTTCAACACGGACACAAACGTCTCTCGGATTTTCTCCTTCTGTAGGAAACAAACACGTCGTCATGTCAGCTTCAGGTTCAGGCTCTCAGCTAAAGAACCAAACTTTTACCTCTGCAGTACATTTGAAATGAGAACAAGCTCAAAACCTACCAAATGTACCACAAACAGACATTTTTGTTAATTACAGGTGGAGGAGGTGGGTGGAGTCTGGGTTTAG